TAAATGTGAGATTAATGAGTAATTAATTAAAAAATATAACTCCTTTTGGAGGGAAAGTGAAAATATTTTTATTAAATGTTTTATTAAATGGGATTAGTTAGCAATTATATATATATATATATATATATANTTACCTTTTTTCAATTTTGTCAATATATTTTAGTGCTCAAAAGATGTTTGTTAACTGTAGTAGCGGTAAACAAGAGTCGATTCCATGAGACGTATAAATGGTGATTTGTTTGTATTAGTTGGAATAAAACAAAAGGGGTAATTTAATTTTTTACATCACTAATAAAAGAAAATAAGTTAAAACGAAAGTGGATGAGCTTAGATTATAAAAATGATGAAACAAACGGGGTCAAAGATTCTTAGAAAATGAGAAAGAATCCAGCTGTATTAACTAGTAGATACTGGCTAGAAGCAAAAAATGATATACACTTCCCAACGGAGTATTTGGTGCCAATTCATGCTGGTGATCAGAATGTGTTGCGTTACTTGGATATATAGATGATCACTCTCACAGTCACACATAAGGGTAGACTGCCATAGCACAAGTATCATCACAGATGCGGAAACCGAAATGCTCCAAATCTTGCGTCACGCAGTCATAAAGCCATAGGTAACCTCCTGAGTCCTGAAGAAATGCTTTATCATCCTTGTACAGGCCGACGACCCTCCTATAAACAACACCAGCATGAGCATGAGGAATGACGACACTGTGTGTGGATTCATGGGACCAAATGCCCTCATTCCATACCCATATCTCGAAAATAAAAGGCTCAGCTTCACTAGTGTTCTTCATCCTCTTTCTCTGCCCTGGACAATCAAAAAAACTACTTTTCTCCTTCTGTCCATAATAATCAAAAACAATAGCGGCCAGCGACCCACGAAACTCGGCAAGAGAAACACACCCAAACATAATTCGATCCTAGATCCAACGAATGGATGTACATGTTTTCTAAACAAATAATTAAATCTATCCGATCAACTCCCGGGCGAATAATTATTACAAACATTCATCCATAAATTCCTCGACATGCCCGAGGCTTTAAAAACAAATTTAAAACCATACATCACATTCAACAACATTCATCAAACACATAATCGGCCATAATAGTGGATTAACTATTTTCCTGCAAAACCGAGTTATGCAAATATAATCCAATATATGGTTGCGTTTGAACACATCTTGTCAAATAAAGCCGTAAAAATTCGAACTTTGTATAAAACGAATTAACCGAGTGCTCTGATACCACTTGTTGGGATCTGTGAGGATCTCGTTATGAACAAATCACGAATTTAATAGCAAACGTAAACCTATACGCAGCGGATCTAAAGGTTTGACGTGGAGAACTTACGGCTTAAAATTTATATAGATCTGGTTGACCATGAACGGTTGACCGCAATTGATTGACCGCAAATCACGTCTTGGGTTGCGCGAACAAGATCAGATCAAAACCGGATCAAACGGATGCAAGCTGATCAAAACGAAAATTGTTGCCAGGCACCTTCCGGCGGCGCGTGAGGGCGCGTGCAGCGTCGGAATCCGGCGACGTCGGCGGCGATGGAAAGCCCTCGTCGAGACGGTCGTCTGGGTATACTGTACGTCTCAATAGGACTTCCGGTTAGTTCTGTAGGTCAAAATATATTTCGTCTCGGTTTACCTACAGATCTTCTACTGTATTACTCAATACACCCTTCTTCAACTTGTACCAGTGGAGCAACAAGAAGAAGATAAAGCTCGAATGAGATCTAGAGAGAGAGAGGCGTGTGAGGCGTGTATCTCGTGTGAATGAGACTTCTGTTCTCTTCTCATGAGCTTAATGATGTATATATAGAGCTACAGTAGGGACCCTAAGGAGATTAGGAAAAGGGTTCCTTAATTAATTAGACTAATTGTAGGCCAAGCCCACTCCTCTAATTAATTAAATAATATTAATTGGCCACCAACATTATATTATTGCACTCCCTCTTCCTAGCCCAAATTACATTTGAGACTCCAATAATAATTACTCGATTTACCTCCCCACGTTTAAGATATAATGTCCATTAATTAATTCGATTACTGACAATCAAGAATTAATTAATTTGTTATTATTTCACCGAAGCTAGCGCTCGTTCATCACATTCTTATTTATGCCGGAACTTAATCCACCTGCAGGGTTTAGCATAACAATCCTTCATGAACTCACTCCGGGGACATCATCAAACTAACGCACATGGTGACCGTAAATATCCTAACAGCACATCCTATATATAATAATATTACCCAAAACAGTAGGATTATTAATCCAGCGAACTGAACCTCACCCATGTGAATCAAAGTAATATATATTATATATATCTGCCTGTTTAATATCTTACGGGTTAAGAGAACGCAGTAATTAACCGAGACCTAGTTCATTTACGACGATCAGTATAATATGAACTTCTCATCTCTGGGATCCTGTTCAATACATAAATGTACTAGCGCAACTAATCAGTCAAGACAAACTGTACAGTTGACACTACAACCGTTCGGATGGGGTGTTCATGTCCATCTAGGTTGTGAACAACTATTCTTGTTCGCAAGTAACTGATAGAGTGATCTTCGGTTCGCCCGATGACGACCCACCCTATCTAAGTGCAGAACAACAGAACGTAGAACTTGTTTAATCTAACATGATTCTCATTCATAAAGGGTAAATGTGTAATAACATGCAAAGCCAAACTTTCAGTATATAACACTAACACGAGCTCCCCTGCCTACTTCAAGGAGCTATGGTGCTAACACTTCTCCAGCGTATGACGCGCTCAATTCCAAACTCTAACTCTACTCGCACATAGTAGGCCGAACTGACCTGAGCTCGGCCTCCATCCATGATCCGTTAGGTCGGCAGGCCGGCCTAGCCACTTTCCCTTGTGCTATATCAATTATTATTGTGGTTGTATAGTGTAATAATAACCGTATGTGGCAATGCATCAAATTGAAATTTATAAAATTCATCAAATAGAAAATCATAAAATTTCATGAGATGTGTGGTATAAATGGTGATTACTTTGTATGAGTTAGAATAAAACAAAAGGGGTAGTTTAATTTTTTAGATCACTAATGGAAGAAAATAAAATCTATACTTATATTAAAGGGGTACTATTTACTAAATTAAGTAGCCAGAAAAGTCAACAACATTTATTGCATTACTATTTCCGTATTATACTACTCCCTCCTATTTTTAATATTTGTCATTCTAGCTTAATTGATCTTTTGTTAAATAAATATCGTTTTGGCTATTTTGTTCATATTTTTCCCTTTTAACCCCTCCATCAATACTCATTGTCTCTTCATATTCCCAAGAACATCCATCCATAATTGTGTCATTAAATAGGGTTAAACTTGGAAAGAAAAATATTTCTTAATTAGTGTGTTGATAGCCAGAATGACAAATATTTAAAATAGAAGGGAGTATATAAAAGGATATTCTATTTACTACATTTACTATCCAAAAAAGTCAACTGCATTAAATGTCATTACTATTTTGGTATTATAATATTTTATTAATTGATTTATTTATTTGTTTTATTTTAAAAAGGTAAGTATAATAAAAAGATTTTAATAATAAAAAAATCAAATACCAAATAAAAATGTACACTTTGACTTATTTGATTATATTTGGTATTTGATTATACCAAATATATTTCTATTTAGTATATACATTAAATACTTACTAAAGTATTTATTTGTTTTATGTGTCAAAGTTAAGTATAGATTGGTTTATATTATCAAATCATAAAAAAATATTAAATCCATATTTTAAAAAAAAAAATCATATAATTTTATAACAATTCTACTACACTATTTAACAATATTTCTTTTTTATTATATAATAAAATAATAATTAAATATTATATGGTGAACAACAATAAGTAAAACTGTTACTTTCTCTTATATCAAGGGATAAATTTATATGCTAAAATTAAATTTTTATTAGTATAAATGTTTTAGTGAGATAATATATTAATTATTTTACAAGCTAGCTCTAACATGCTCATATTTAATGTTTTAAAAGATGTAGAAAAAAAACTTATAATAACTCTATTGTTTTTTAGACTTAAACGTTGATTAAAAGAGGTAAAAATTTCTAATTTTTTAGACTTAAACGTTGATTAACACCATAGATTGAGAGTTTATATTTAGTAAAATTTCTAATTGTAATAATAAAAATAAATTTTGCTATATTTTAAAATATCTTTAAATTCATTATAAAAAAAAAAGAAAAAAAAAAAACTACAATGAAAAAAGCAAGTCAGCTATATATCGATTTGTTGTACTCCTCAAATCACATTCACATGAAACTCATTGATTAAAATATTATTTTGTCAGTAGTCTTAATGTACAAGAGACTTTAAGACTCCACTTGAATATTATAAAACTTTTATTGAACATTGTACAATTTCTTGCGTATTATAAACTTTTATTAAATATTGCATCTTATAATATAATATTCTCCAAATAAATATATCTCGTGCTTTACACGGGTCACGTACTATATATATCCCATACATTTTTCTTTATTCATGTATATAATTATAAGCCTGGATAAATAGCTTTAAAATTATACACTCCGTGCATCGCACGGGCTCTGTACTAGTTAAAATTAAAGTGGATGAGCTTACGGGAGCAAAGATTCATAGAAAATGAGAAAGAATCCAGTTGTATTTCAATTTACGCCGATGATTAACTAGTAGAAACTGGTCAGAAGCAAAAAATGATATACTTCCCAACGGAGTAGGAAGACTGGCAGTATTTGATGCCAATTTATGCTGATGATTTGAATTTTCGGTAATAAGAAAAAAATTAACCGAAACTGGAAAAGATATATATTGGGTTATAGCAAATGTCATTACCGACAATCAGTTACATAGGCAAAACCTGTGACACACACACTTGAATAACAAAGTTCCAATAGGCGTCCACAATGAAACAGTAAACACATGCCATCTATATCATTTTCAAATCTAAAATGAACTTTGAAACAGTAAACACATGCCATCTATATCATTTTCAAATCTAAAATGAAGTTCAATCGAGAAGTGGCATTGTCCAGTACATAATCACAATGGCAGCAAAGAGCAATTTAATGCACACTTAAATGTCCACACAAAAGTCCAGGAAAGAGCATTTTTCTTTGTTTGGCGAAAAACAGCAATGTCACGGGCGAAAAATCATCAATTCGGAAAAAAGATTTCAAACTTTTTATAATAGATAGAAATCAAAATAAACAATAGAAAGAGAGGAAGGTGGTATCGAGTTTCCAGTAGAGGAAAATAAGATATTAGCAACATTTTCCATCTCAAGGATGGGCTAGGCGACAACACTTAGATGATCAGAATGTGTTGGTTACTTGGATATATAGATGATCACTCTCACAGTCACACATAAGGGTAGACTGCCAGACCACAAGTATCATCACAGATGCCGAAACGCTCCAAATCTTTTGTCACGCAATCAAAAAGCCATAGGTAACCCCGTGAGTCCTGAAGAAATGCTTTATGATCCATGTAGAGGCCCACGACCCTCCTATAAACAACACCAGCATGAGAATGAGGAGTGACGACAGTGTGTGTGGATTCCCAAGACCAGATGCCGTCATTCCATACCCATATCTCGAAAATAAAAGGCTCAGCAGCTTTACTAGTGTTCTTCTTCTTCCTTCTCTGCCCTGGACAATCAATATTTTTACTTTTCTCCATCTGTCCATAGTAATCAAAAACAATAGCGGCCAGCGACCAACGAAACTCGGCAAGAGAAACACAGCCAAGCATGATATTCCTGAGCATTTTGCTCTCCGGCATAGGGATGAGAGCATGAGGAAACTCCTCATTACCAAAGTCGAATGAAATAACAGCAAGATACGGTTTGGTGGCGTGCAGTGCTAGCCAATAATAAAAGCCATTGATGTGAAGCGAAGGATACTGAAAGGTTCCCAACTGGGGATCATGGGGATACGGAATTTCCTTCCACGAACAAGTTTCAAGCGAGAACAACTCCGCGTGGACTTCGGGGTTGGAACGAAAATATTCAAACATACGACATCTGACCACCTTATATTCTCCCGATGCACACCCGATACCGTAACCCCACATGGAGGTGTAAATTGGGCAAGGCACGCGCGGCACAGCCTCAAAAAAAGGAAGGGGTACGAGCACGTCGGTCCTAGGGTCCCACAGAAGATCCACCGGACTTGCAATATTCTCGATACATGTCCACAGCATCCAAGTGTTGCAACTCGCTTGAACATGATACTTGGCATTCATACAAACAGGATCGTAGTTTTGCGCTTTGAGTAGAGACAAGTTAGGAAAGCTATTCTCATCTTGTACCACTTTGAACATTTCGTTTTCCGTTGACAGCACAAAGTAATCGCGGGTCCAATTGAGTGTACACATCACCATAAGCATAAGATTATTGTTGTTGTTGTTGTTATGCTTCAAGTTGCGGGTGTTGAGCGCCCGAATAGTAGCAGGAACACTAGCGACCACGTCACTAGCACCAGACGGGAGATTTATTGGGGATCTCAATTTGGATTCGGCGTTGGCAACATATGGGAAGACCCTCAGAGTCATACCCTCGTCACGGATACCGAGATTCTTCAATCTCTTCTCCTCAATATCGTAAAGCAGTAGGTCACCACAGCGGCTCTGAAGAAGCAGTTTATCTTTCCTGTAGAGGCCTATTACGCAACTAACATCGGCTGCAGCCGGGACTTCCCTTGTGCACACGTGAGACCATCTGGGGGCCTTCCACACCCAAAGCTCGAAAATAAAAGGCTCAGCAGCAGCATTTCTGTCTCTTTCCGTCTCCCAGACATCATTCTCGTAAACAATTACAGCAAGCGACCCATCAAACTCAACAAGATCAGCAGTTCCACAGTCGAGCTTATTGCTCTTGGGCATAGGGATTAAAGCAGGGCTAAACTCCTCCTTAGCAAAGTCGAACGAAATAATGCCACATGTATTTGACCAATAATAAAAGCCATTGATGTGAAGAGATGGTATTTGAAAAGGATTACCAGCAGGGAAGCAGTAAAGAGGACACCGAATTTCCCTACATGAACCACTTGCAAGCGACAACACCTCAGCGTAGACCTTCTCATCGGCAGTACCAAGGTATTTGGCGCGACATCTGACCACCTTATAGCCCCCTTCTGGATCAAACCCAAACCCATATCCCCAAACGCTCGTCAAACGAGGAGAAGCCAAAGAAAAACACGGAAGGGATTTTCTCTCGTCGGTTGTGGGGTCCCACAGGAGGTCCCATGGACATTCCCGAAATTTGTTACATGTCAACAGCATCCATGAGTCGCAACTCGCTGCAACATCATAATCGGTCGTCATAAAGAAATCGTAGTTGTCAGCTTTGAGTAGAGACAGGTTTGGAAAATTATCATCATCATCATCTTGCAGCACTTTGAAAGAGTTGTCTTTGGTTGAGATTACTGAGCAGTCGAGGGTTCCATTGCAAACATGCTGCACCAGAAGCATCAAATTGTCATTGCAGGGAGCGTGTGGCCGACCTTCTTTATCGGGAATTAGATTGGTGGTGCTTGAGACGATTTCCATATCTGCAATTTCCAACAAACAACAGCAGCAGATCCCTACATTAAATCAATTATTCGGGTTTTGCAAACTCTTTCTCAAATTTAGCCACCGGTAAAGAGAAAACATTGAAATAGTGAAAGATTTAGCCATCAATACCTGAACTTGAGGGTAGTAGAGGGACGTCGACTGAAGCGGGGCTAGGGCTAGGCGATTTGCAGAGCCAGTCAGCCAGAGCACCGTGACGGCCTGGATGCACGAAAAATTTGAGATTATAATGTGAGAGTGTAGTGTTTGGATTATGGTTTCATGCCCATCGTATTTATAAGGATTCCAACCATTAATAAATTTCCTAATACGTTTCATTTTGTTTATTAACAAAAATAGTCAAATAATGTATACTAGTGCGTATCCCGTGCGCGGACAAAAATATTAAATGAGTTATTTTCACAATTTTTGTCCATTTAAGTATACAAAGAAATAAATTTATCATCTATTTTCGACCTCTTTTAATTAGCGTTAAGTCTAATAAATAATAAAGTTACAATCTATTTTGCATCTCTTTTAATAATCGTTATTTTTTTAGACAAAATATTAAATATGAGCATATTAGGGTTAGCTTGTAAAATAATTAATATATTACCTCACTAACACATTTATACTAATATAAATTTGATTTTAGTATATATATATATATATATATATATATTTATTCTTTGATATAAGAGAGAATAACAATTTTAGTTATTCTTGTTCACCATATGCTACTTCGTTATTATTTTTCTTATAAACTTTGTTGTTATATAATGTCATTATTATTTATAAAGTTATAAGAGTTGTACATCTTTGGTTTTTTTTTATTTTACGTAATGAAAAATATTTAATCTACGTTAGTATTATTTATTTATGTAATCAAGTTAAAATATATAAATAAATTTAAAATTAAATAGTGTATAAATATTTTATAAAATATACACATGTTTTTTTAGAATTTAATTTTGTATACCAATTAAACAACTTTGATTTAGAAAATGCCAAAAACTCAATCCCTTCTATGATCAAGATTTTTCTAATTCGCACTATAAGGATTTATAGTTAATTTAGCATACTCTGCAATGAAAATATATTTTACAAGAATTTGATTATAGAAATAAATCAAAATAAAAAATAAAAAAAAATAATCATGGGTGCCAATAATATACAAATAAATTCTAAAAGTAGTTAATATATTTTTAGTTTTTTACAATTAGTAAAACTGTTTAATGTATCTGGTCAATATCTCTTAAATGGTAAATTATATTAATTGGAAGAACAATTTATTTTTTATATTTAACAAAATAAAGCTTAAGAAAAAAAAAATATTGACAAAGATTAATTCACCAACTTGATTTTGTCTGATTACTTAGAAAAAAAATTATACCTAACATCTTACGATTTTTCATAAATATTTTTGGATAAAAAGTGAATATTTGTGAAAAAAATTAATATTATGGTTAGAACTTAAAATATGGTGTAATTTTTATCTTGACAAAAATATTATCAACATGGATCACGGAAATCAATCTTGTAATTTATTATAATGAATATCAATGAAAGGATTACAAATATTAATGCATATGGAAGCAATTAATGCATATATTTAAAAAGTTTTCAAAAATAATATGCATTAAATGATTCCTAATTTTTTTACTACTATTTTTAGTAAATGGTAATTTTTATTTTATATATATATATATATATATTGGCTTATGTATAGGGGTTAATTGAGTATAATTTGTGTTCCAGCCAAGGGATTAAATATCATCATTTTATTTTAAAACTAGTACGATCATGTGCACATGCACATAAGTAAACAAAAATTTATATATTATATATACGTATATGATATATAAAAATTTAAATTAGATAAAATGTGTATTACATTTTAATATTTCGACTATATGTAAATATATAATAAATATAAATTATTTAACTTCCATACAAATTAGTTTTTTGTTTTATTTTTATTGTATAACTATAATACAATATAGGAATATTAGTTGTAAAATAGTTCGGTCAAAAAAATTTAAATATTGTAAAGCTATTACAGAATGAAAAATTATTAATCATAAAGTTTACTTGTCTAACTGTCATGGATGCCGGTCATAAAGATTTTTATTAAATGAAGTCTTATTTTTATTAATTGTTGACTGAATAAAATTTATTGAAACTTGCCAGCAATTATATATATATATATATATATAGATTGTGTTTATGGCTATGTTTGGTACATCAATAAGCTAGTTTATAGCTTATTTGATTAGTTTATAAGCTCCCTATATTTAAATAAGCTCCGTTTGGTAGGACGAGCTTATTTAAAAAGCTCGAGCTTATTTGATAAGGTTCTTTTGGTACCTTTTCAAATAAGCTCGTTGAAATTTTTATTTCAGCTACCTTATCAGATAATTTACCAAACACTTTTATCATATAAGCTAGTTTTTCAGCTATAAGTCATAAGCTATAAGCTATAAGCACGAAAATTACTAATAAGTTATAAGTTAGCTTATCAGCTATCAGCTAGCTTATCAGCTAGGTTTACCAAACATAGCCAAACTTCTTTTGGTAGCTTTTCAAATAAGCTCGTTGAAATTTTTATTTCAGCTAGCTTATTAGCTAATTTTTACCAAACACTTTTATAATATAAGCTAGTTTTTCAGCCATAAGTCATAAGCTATAAGCCATAAGCTCGAAAATTACTAATAAGCTATAAGCTAGCTTATCAGCTAGGTTTACCAAACATAGCTAATATTAATCATAACATTTTGTAGCTGTAAAAATCACTAAAAAAATGATAATGGGTAGATGTTGAGGTATTAAACTTTTAGACTTCTAACCATTAATTTTTGTAAAATGATTAATTTTGTTTATTAATACAAACTAGTCAAATCATGTATATTGGTTGATGTATAGAGGTTAATTGAACATGATTTGTGTTTCAGCCAATGGTGACTATATCAATATTTTATTTTAAATTTATGTTTACATAATCATAAGATTTTTTAGATGTAAAAGTCATTAAAAATGTGACAATGGGAAGATGTTGAGGTAACGGTTTCTTGGGAAGGGTTGGCTAGCAGTAAAGATAAGGGTGAGTTGGGGTTCAGAGACTCGAAAGCTTTTAATGAAGCTCTTATAGTCAAATAGCTTTGGAGGTTGCTAATTCATCTTAATTTACTGGTTAGCAAAGTAATGAGAGGGAGATATTTTCATGGGAAGGGTTTGTTTGAGGTAAAAAAAAAAAAGAGATGGGGATTCATGGCTTTGGAAAGGGTGGTTGGGAGCTAGGGAAGCTTTAAAAAGAGGGATGAGATATCAAGTGGGTGATGGAACTTCCATTGATGTGTGGGATTCACCTTGGATCCCTAATAAATCAAATTTCAAACCCACTTGTGACTCTAGGGCAGCAGGGGGTAGTGTGAGAAAAGTGAGTGACCTGATATGTGTAGGGAGGAGGAGCTGGGATAAGAACCTTATTGTGCAGATTTTTAACCCTTATGATGCAGAATCCATTTTAAAGATTCCTCTTAGTTCTGTTAATAAAAAAGATAGGTTGGTGTGGCACTGGGATCCTAAAGGTATATTTTCTGTCAAATCTACCTATAACAACATCATGGCTCATAAGCCAGACAGTTTGAATATAGCTTCTGTAAGTTCTGACAATTTGAGAATGAAGAAAATGTGGAAGAGGACTTGGAAGTTGTACATTCAACCTAAACAGAAGAATTTCATGTGGAGACTACTCAATGGCTTTTTGGGGACTAAAAACCACCTAAGAAGGAGAGGTTTAGAAGTGGATGAAATATGTGTGCTGTGTGGAGAGGAAGCTGAAAATCATGAACACCTTTTCTATAACTGCACTCAAACTAACATATGCTGGAAACTTTTGGGATTGGAACGGTTTGCTTTACAGGATGGCTCCAAACCAATACAAGGATGGTGGGAAGATGTTTGCAACAGCAGTAAATTTAGCCTGATTCAAGATAGGCTTGCCTTGTCTGTTTGTTTGATATGGAGGCTATGGAATGCAAGAAACAGAAGGATATTCAATAACCAACCTTTTGAAGTGGGAGAAGTGGTGGCAGGAGCTCAGAGGGACTGGGAAGAACAACAGAGTGATGGGTCACAACAAGAACACCAAAGGGAAAAATTTTTCAGGAGAGTAGGTACTGTGGTTTTACAGGTCAGTGCTCAATGTTCACCTGAAGGAGTGGCTAATTCAAGAGGAGTGGCATCCCAGGAAGGGAAGGAGGTTCACTCATGGCAGATAACTGATTGGAATGCAGAGAACTTAGACTCAGCAACATTGCAGGCAGTTCTATGGGCCCTACAGGAAGCAAGAAGAAAGGGGTGGCAATCCATATATTGTCAAGTGAAAAATGCATGTGTGGCCTCTTTACTCAGTGAAAAGTGTTTCAGTGTAAATCATATTAGTCTGAATCTTGAATTTCTGGATGTGATACGAGAGAGACGAGACAAAGTTGGGAGTGAAAATCATCTCAATCATCTGATACAACTCTGTATTAACCAAGAATATATACAGAAGAATTAGGGCTACCGATACCTAAAGATAACCTAAGACTAATATAGTAAATACACAAACATACACAATAACACCCCCCCTCAAGTTGGAGCATGCGGATTCCGAATGCCTAACTTGCCAAGAAAGAAATCAAATTCACGCTTCCCAAGTGCCTTGGTGAAGATGTCAGCGAGCTGTTCCCCAGAAGGAACATGAGTAGTAGAAATGAGACCCTGAAGAACAGCATCTCGAACAAAGTGGCAATCCACCTCAATGTGCTTAGTGCGCTCGTGAAAAACCGGATTCGCTGCAATATGCAGCGCAGACTGACTGTCACAGTGTAATCGCATAGGCTGAGAATGAGCGACACCAAGAGTAGATAACAGTCCCCGTAACCACTTCAACTCGCACAATGTAGTAGCCATCGCCCGATATTCAGCCTCAGCAGAGGAACGTGCGACAGTAGGTTGTTTCTTGGTTCGCCAAGAAACAGGAGACTGACCTAGCTGAATAAACCAACCAGAAAGAGATCGCCGAGTGAGAGGGCAAGACGCCCAATCCGAATCACACCATGCATAGAGCTGAAGATCGCAGTTAGTACGAAGATGAATCCCCTGACCAGGAGAGCCTTTCAAATATCGAACCACACGTAAAGCAGAGTCCCAGTGAGCCTGACGTGGTTGGTGCATAAATTGAGAGAGCATATGGACAGAATAAGACAGCTCAGGTCGAGTCACTGCTAGGTAGATAAGGCGTCCGACTAAACGACGATATCGCTCGGGATTAGACAATAAATCACCCTCAGCAAGAGGGAGCTGATGATTCTGCTCTAATGGAAAATCAGTTGGCTTGCTTCCTAGTAGTCCGACCTCAGCAATGATGTCAAGAGCATACTTCCGCTGACAGAGAAAGAAGCCAGAAGAATTTCGGGCAACCTCGATACCCAGAAAATACTTAAGCAGCCCGAGATCCTTCATGTGAAAACAACGACTCAAGTAACTCTTGAAGGTTGAAATGGATGTGGTATCATTCCCGGAAACAATCAGATCATCAACATAGACCAGGACCTGCAGATGGACAGAACCACGATGCAGTGTAAAAGAGAGTAATCATGATAGGACTGACAAAAACCATACTGTTTCAAAGCTGTAGCCAACTTGGCAAACCAACAGCGGGGAGCCTGCTTCAAGCCATAGAGGGAACGACGAAGACGACAAACTTTTCCATCAACGCCAGAGCGAAAACCAGGAGGAAACTTCATGTAAACCTCCTCGGCCAAATCAAGAGAAAATGTATTCTCGTAGGTGTAATTTCATTATGACTGAAGCTCCTATTTATAGGAAAACTTCTGATGGCACAATCGTAATAATACAATTACATCAGGGACAAAATAGTCATTCACATATAATAGTTTATTTCCTCGTGCACCTCATGCACATTATTATAACAGTTCATAACAGAGATTATAATGTGACAGTATAAAGATTCCAAACCAATAGATTTCCTAATACTTTCATTTTGTTTATTAACAAAAAATCAGTTAAATAATGTATGTTGGTTGATGTATAGGGGTTAACTAAGCTTAATTTGTAGTCAAGGGTGTAAATATTAGCATTTTATTTTAAAAATGTTTGCATAATCATAAGATTTTTTAGTTGTAACAATCAGTGTTTTGAGACCCGGATCGGCCCGGCGGGTCGACTCGAGACCCGGTCGACTCGGAGCCGGAACTGGTCCGGGTGGAGTATTTGGACCGGACAACCAAGGACCCAGTCAAACCCGGTCAAAACCCAGCTGACCCGGGGCATTGACCCGGCCGGGTCAACCCGGTTGACCCGGTCCATATATATTTTTTATATTTTTTTTTATTTTTTTATTTTATTAAAAATAAAAATATGTATATATATTTATATGGTAAATATCTATCATGAGATACATATTATTAACACTTTAATATACAAATTTTATACACAAAACATTTAATTTTGTTACTTTTATGTATATTTATATAACAAAAATACTCTATATATAATTTTAAAAATTTTAAAATTAATTATCCGGTTCAGCAATTGACCCGGTGACCCGACGGTTGAACCGGTGACCCGGTGATCCGAGGACCTGCCCGAGTTGATCACTGGGCCGGGTTTAAAAACTATGGTAACAATTATTAAAAATATGATGATGGGCAGATGTTTAGGGATTAATTTTTTAGGATTCCTAACCATTAATTTTTGTAAAACGTTAATTTTGTTTATTAACATATATCAGTCAAATCATGTATATTGACTGATGTATTGGGATTAATTGAGCATGATTTGTGTTCCAGCTCATTGCGTAAATGTCAACATTTTATATTAAATATATGTTTATATAATCATAAGTTTTTTAGCTATAAAAATTATAAAAAATATGATAATGGGTAGATGTTTAAGGATTAATTTTATTAAAATAAGATATATACGTTTAATTTGTTAATTTATAAGGTCTGCCGCATGGGCTTGGTGTTCCCTTTCATGCAGTGCCAAGGGGACAAAAAGAAGCCAGAGGGACAGTTTAGGCAGAAGCGGAACTGGTAAAATTGGCGGCCAAGGCAAAATCGAAGCAGAAAACAACTCAGTTGTGTGCTTCTGTCAGTGGTCCTTTAGGCTGACCAGTCAAAAAGAGTGTTCAACTCAGATGAGGTTGGCGGAAGTGAAAATACCAACAATAGGTAAGCGTATGGACAGGTGGCAATGTATATAAATATTATGTTTGTTTCAATGAAATCGGATGGTAACCAACTAACCACATTGGAAAAATGATGGAGGATATGTTTTACAAGGTCATTTAACTTTGAAGATCTGTAAGGTTTTGCTTTATCTTTTTTTAATGTTATATGTTTTATCTTTTTTTAATGTTATATGTTAATCGCTGTACAACACTGTTTATTTGATGTTCTGTACAGTTTGATAAAAAATGAATGTAATAAATTTGGTACTAACTTTGTAGTTTGAGGGTTGTTGAGTTGTGGAATTATTCTTAAGGGTATACTTTCTCTAATTCTGCAATCAGTGATATCTAAATATTGAGTTTCTTCACTTCTTCATTTGTGTATATCAGGATATCTAAAACTAGTAGATATCTTTTGAAGTTTATACAACCATTCTTTGGTGGTGTCCTTATAATCTCTTCTTACTTGAACTTACTGTGAAAACAAAGTTAACCTTTGTATTATGTCTGCTTATAGAGGTGATATATGTCCTTTCTGCAACAAAGAAAAGTGTGTTGATCGAGCTCCTTGTGAAACATAAATTCAAAACAAATATTATCCAATGATCCAGATTTATTCTCATTTCTTTCACTATCTTCCTTTCTCATTTGATCCCAATTCTATATATGTATTCGGTTATAGAAAATTCATTACCGACATAATCAGTTACATAGGCAAAACCTGTGACACACATACTTGAATAACAAGGTTTCAATTGGCGTCAACAATGAAACAGTAAACACATGCCATCTATCATTTCCAAATCTAAAATGAAGTTCATTCCAGAAGTGGCATTGTCCAATACATAAACACAACGGCAGCAAAGAGCAATTTAATGCACAGTTAATGTCCACACAAAATTCCAGGAAAGAGCATTTTTCTTTGTTTGACGAAAAACATCAATGTCACGGGCGAAAATCATCCATTCAAAAAATGATTTCAGACTTTTTATAATAGATAGAAATCAAAATAAACAATAGAAAGAGAGGAAGGTGGTATCGAGTTTCCAGTTGAGGAAAATAAGATATTAGCAACATTTTCCATCTCAAGGATGGGCTACAAGTATATCGATGATCAGTCTCTCACAGTCACACATAAGGGTAGACTAACATAGCACAAGTATCATCACATATGCCGAAACGCTCCAAATATTTTGTCACGCAATCATAAATCCATAGGTAACCCCCTGAGTCCTGAAGAAATGCTTTATCATCCTTGTAGAGGCCCACGACCCTCCTAAGCATGAGGAGTGACAACACTGTGTGTGGATTCAAGGGACCACATGCCCTCATTCCATACCCAAATCTCGAAAATAAAACGCTCAGCAGCTTTACTAGTGTTCTTCTTCTTCTTTCTCTGCCCTGGAAAATCAGAAAAACTACTTTTCTTTATTTGTCCATAATAATCAAAAACAATAGCGGCCAGCGACCCATGAAACTCGGCAAGAGAAAAACAGCCAAACTTGAACTTGATGTCCCTGAGAATTTTGGTCTCCGGCATAGGGATGAGAGCATGAGGAAACTCCTCATTACCAAAGTCGAACGAAATAACAGCAACATACGGTTCGGTGGCGTGCACTCCTACCCAAATAGTAAAAGCCATTGATGTGAAGCGAAGGATGCTGATAGGCTTCGAGCTGTGGATCATGTGGATACGGAATTTCCTTCCACGAACAAGTTTCAAGCGAGAACAGCTCCGCGTGGACTTCGCGGTTGGAACGAAAATACTCAAACACACGACATCTCACCACCTTATATTCTCCCGATGCAAACCCGATACCGTAACCCCACATGGTCGTGTAAATCAAGCGAGGCACGCGCGGCGCAGATTAAAAAAAGGAAGGGTTACGAGCACGTCAGTCCTAGGGTCCCACAGAAGCTCCACCGGACTTGCGATATTCTCGATACATGTCCACAGCATCCAAGTGTTGCAACTCGCCTGAACGTGATACTTGGCATTCCTACAAACAGGATCCTAGTTTTGCGCTTTGAGTAGAGACAAGTTAGGAAGGCTGTTCTCATCTTGTACCACTTTGAACATTTTGTTTTCCGTTGACAGCACAAAGTAATTGCGGGTCCAATTGAGTACATAATGCACCATAAGCATAAGATTATTGTTGTTGTTGCGGGTGAGCGCCGGAATAGTAGCAGGAACACTAGCGACCACGTCACTGGCACCAGACGGGAGATTTATTGAGGATCTCGATTCGGATTCGCCGTTGGCAACATATGGGAAGACCTTCAGAGTCACAAACTCGTCACGGATACCGAGATTCTCCCATCTCTCCTCCTCAATCTCATAAAGCAGTAGGTCACCACAGCGGCTCTGAAGGAGCAGTTTATCTTTCCTGTAGAGGCCTTCTACGCAACAAGCATCGGCTGCAGCCGGGACTACTCTTTTGCACACGTGAGACCAGCTGGGGGCCTTCCACACCCAAAGCTCGAAAATAAAAGGCTCAGCAGCAGCAGTAGCAGCAACTATGTTGCTTTCCGACCACCATTTACCATACTCGAAAACAATTACAGCAAGCGACCCATCAAACTCAACAAGATTAGCAGTTCCCCTGGAGAGCATATTGCTCTTGGGCTTAGGGATTAGAGCAGGGCCAAACTCCTCCTTAGCAAAGTCGAACGAAATAATGCCATCCAGACTGTACCAATAACAAAAGCCATTGATGTGAACAGATTCAGAAGGATCAGAATCAAGGGAGCAGTAAAGAGGACGCGGAATTTCCCTCCGTGAACCACTTGCAAGCGACAACAGCTCAATGTAGAGCTTCGCTTCGTCATAAAGGTCTCTGGCGCGACATCTGACCACCTTATAGCCCCCTTCTGGATCAAACCCAAAGCCGTATGCCCATATGTTCGTCATACGAGGAGAAGCCAAAGAAAAACACGGAAGGGATTTTCTCTAGTCGGTTGTGGGGTTCCACAGGAGGTCCCATGGAGATTCAGGATTTTTGTTACATGTCAACAACATCCATGAGTCGCAACTCGCTTCAACATCATAATCGGTCTTCTTATACAAGAGATTGTAGTTGTCACCTTTGAGTAGAGACACGTTTGGAAGATTATCATCATCATCTTGCAGCACTTTGAACGAGTTGTCTTTGGTTGAGATTACTGAGCAGTCGAGGGTTCCATTGCGAACATGCTGCACCAGAAGCATCAAATTGTCATTGCAGGGAGCGTGTGGCTGACCTTCTTTATCCGGAATTAGATTGGTGGTGTTTGAGACGATTTCCATATCTGCAATTTCCAACAACCAACAGCAGCAGATCCCCCTTTCAGATAATGAATAACCTTTCACAACTACTTTGGACTCCTACATTAAATCAATTATTCCCATAGGAGAAGTGTTTTGCAAACTCTTTCTCAAATTTAGCCACCCGTGAAGAAAAAACATTCAAATAGTCAAAGATTTAGCCATCAATACCTGAAGAGGGACGTCGGGACTGAAGCGGGCCGAGGGCTAGCCGATTTGCAGAGCACCGCGAGTGGCCTGATGCACGAAAATGTGAGATTACAAAGTGAAGGCGTAGTGTTTGGATTATGTTTCATGCCCATATTTATAAGGATTCCAAACCATTAAATTTCCTAATACGTTTCATTTTGTTTATTAACAAAAATTAGTAAAATAATGTATACTGGGTTATGTATAGGGGTTAATTGAGTATAATTCGTGTTCCAGCCAAGGGAGTAAAATATCAGCATTTTATATTAAATTTATGTTTATATAATCATAAAATTTTGTAGCTGTAAAAATCATTAAAAAATATGATAATGGGCAGATGTTGAGGGAATTAACCTTTTAGGATTTCTAACCATTAATTTTTGTAAAATGTTTAATTTTTTTATTAACAAAAACGACTCAAATCATGTATATTGGTTGATATATAGAGGTTAATTTGTGTTAGATGGTGTATATATCAACATTTTTTAAATTTATGTTTATATAATCATAAGAATTTTTAGTTGTAAAAATCATTTAAAATGTGATAAATGGGAAGATGTTGAGGGATTAATTTTTTAGGATTCCTAATTTGTTTATGAATAAAAATCAGTCAAATCTTGTATATTGGTTGATGTATATAGGTTAACTGAGCATGATTTGTGTTCCAGCTCATGGTGTACATACAATTTATATTAAATACATGTTTATATAATCATAATTTTTCTAGTTATAAAATTATTAAAAATATGATAATGGACAGATGTTTAAGGATTAACTAATACAGTTGCCCGGGCGAATGCACGGGAGCTACGGAAAAAATCATTAACAATTGCAATGAATGATTTAAAAAAATTGATTTCTTATATACAATGTCCTATGTCTTAAATTTGTTTTCATCATCACAAATTAATATTATCAATCCTCTCTTCATCTTCTTCAATATCATTCTATTCTTGAGCAGATTTTTCTTTGTCTTTATTCTTAGCATTCTTTATTTTTCATAAGCTCGATTCATCGAACAATTTTCTCTTAGAATAGTATTTCAGGGGTGCCAATTCGTTGAGAATTGGATTCTTTTTTTGGACTAATCACCTCGTCATCATCAATTTTTTTTCTCTGTCATCCACATCAGCTCCCTACAAATGTAAAATAATTAAATAATTAACTTCATATACGTCAATCTTATAAATTTATAAGATTAGTTAATTATTAATTAAAATATAAAAAATATAATTCCTAATTACAAATTTATATGCATTGAATTTAAAAAATATAAGTAAAGAAACCAAACAAAAACAACAAAAAACCCACATTGTATAGAGTACAAAAATTCAGGTTTTACTAATATTATTTTGAACTGTTTCAGGTTATTTTTTTCAGACAGAGCAGGGGCACCGAGCTTAATGGTCTCCATGCCGTCACGAGCTGAGAATTCAAAATTATGCTCAAGTTCTTTTGTAGCTGAGAGTTCAAACAATGCCTTTAGGTATAAAATTCATTATGATGAGTTCAAACTACAATTTATGTGAAACACACTGCAGTAGGGTTTACAGAAATAAAGTTTATTCCAGATTCATTGTGTGGTGTAAAACGAGAAATCAATAGTATATTCTTTTTGTGTACTTATTTGGTACGTTCATTTGTGAGATACTCTATGATTTTCTTTATATTATATGCTTTAACTGGTTATGGGATTGATTTGTGCATGATTTGTACTGTAGGTGTTGAAAAGAAGAAGTAAAGTGTGTTGTTTTCCTCATAGGCTTTAATGCTATTATCTAGACACTTATTTGGTTTCACTGTAGTTTATTCATCTTTTAGAATGGATTATGATTGTGCTTCCCTTTGTACACAATCTAGGTTATGTACCCGTCCATGCTTTAACTGGATATGCGGTTGATTTTTGCTTCCCTTGACTTGCTTTTTCCCGTATTTTTTCTAAGTTACTGTGAGTGTCAGTGCACTCTATGAGTGTTAGTGTACTGTGAGTGTATTTGTGGGGATGAATTGTTATCATTATTATGATTATGTTGAGTGCTTGTTTTCTTCTGTGACTTGCTATCCACAGATTTTCTTTGCTCTCTAGTTTATTGTATGTGTATTTGTAGGGCTGAATTGTTGTTATCATTATTATGCCTGAGTGCTTGTTTGTTTGAATTCAACATCTCTAATGAGTGGAATCTTTTGAAATCTAGCACTGTATTTTGATATTGATTTGGATTGTATTTTGATATTGATTTGGATTATAATCATCTCGCACGATATTATTATCAAATCCAATATTTGGGTTGGTTTGCTAATATAAGTTCGCAAAAGATAGATCAATTACCATATGAATAATATGGTTGACCTTGAGCAACAAGTTAAAAAATTCCACCTTTAGCAGCAACACCATATATATATATATATATATATAGGGGCTGGTTCAAATAAAAACTAGTACTGATGTGAGAACCGTATTTGATGCTATTTTTGATTGTGTATGATGCTATTTTTCATATTAGATGATGCTATCATTTTTACAAATGCTAACAGAAATTGTGTTGCTATTTTTAATAAGATTCATCCTAGTTAAAAATAGCACCAAACACAATCAATTATAGCACCACACACAATTAAAAATAGCGGTTCTCACGGTTCTCACACTAAGACTTGGTTCTCATTTGGATGATCTAATGACTAAAAAAAAACCAAAATTACACATTCATTAAGGATAATGTGGTAATTTTTCACACCAAACCCAAAAAGATGGATCCCACTCCCATTAATACACCTACCACCCACCACCAACCCGTCCATCAGCATACCCCACATTATCGCCCGTCGACGGCCGCCACATGCCCGCCCCTTGCCATACGTCTCAGCCAGATTTATTCTCAGCCGTGCCACCCTCCTTCGCCGTCGATCTCGTAAATTGCCGCCTTCGACTGAGATAGAGCCACCAAAATCAAACTCGCCGGTTGCCGCCGATCCCGACCAAGGTGACAGAGGAACGAGGACGCCTGAAACGCAGACCAGTCGACACCGCACTCCCGCTTTCGGCCACTCCGCCCTGTCAAAATCGAACTCGCCGTTTGACTCTCCGTCTTCCTCCTCTCACACGCCGGCGGCTGGACTCGCCGGCAGCATTCGGTGGACGATACAGGCGAGCGGCGGCACGTTGTTCAAGTCTAGAAATCCGAGAACATTAAAATTGGGCGGGTCATTGTTTAAGAATTAGATAATCCATAGGGACCCAATTGCAATTGCGAAAATTTTAATAAATTTCAATTTAGTGCATGGCCAATCTTCTAATTTGTCCAAACTTTAATAATCAAACAATAATGTTAATTGAATTGCAAAAAATAATGTTTTGAATTGCACAAATAATAATAAAAAAAATACTCGTAGTGCATAAACTAAATTTTTTTTGTTCGAACTTATGTTTCGATTACATTATTTGATATTATTTTCAATTAAATTATTTAGATTCGATGTCGGAATTATATTTTTATATAAAAATATTATTTAAGTTCAACAAAAAAAAGTAATATAAGTAAAAAATATTCAAAATACTAAGTATATTTTTTATAATATAAATAATATTTTATTTTAGTTATTTTGGTCATTCGATTCAATTTTAATTTTGTTTGAGACAAGAGTTTGATCAATTCAGGCTGCACAATATAAACAAAACAATGCACGCTATGGCTATAAGAATATTTAAATTTCCTCTTTTATTATACTAATGGAAATTTTTGAATATTTAAATTAACTCTATAAAAATACAATTATCAATAATCACGTGCGTCGCATGTACAACTTCCTAGTAAATAGAAAATGTAGCACGTGGTATAATTTATCTCAAAAAATTAGGTTTTGTTTTGTGTTTTTTTTTTTCCCTTAATTTTAAATTTCGGAACTATATATATTATAAGTCAAAGGGCAACTACAAGGAGTAAATACAATCCAAGGCTCACTAGCCTGAATACCAATCGAAGATTGACACTGGAGGAATAGCTCTTAGGCAGCCTAGAAAGTTAGAAACCAAAGCTAACAAAAATGGAACTAAGTCAAAAGGAGCCCACGCCAACCAACCCCAACGGGCAGTGGAAAAACACTTGGGTTGTAAGAAAGAGGACACTAATCAGCTGAACTCAATGTCCCAAAGATCTTAGGAAGTCACTCAATTACTAGTGAAATAACAGTTTTCTGCTAATAAATTCTTACCACTCTCCCTAACAGACAATAATTTTTTTGGTTAAAGTTTTCTTCCTGCAGCTGTTAGTAGGGCTGCTGGGTAATTAGATTGTTGGTTTCTGTTGTCTAATTTATGGATCGAACTTTTCATTGGGGTAGGAAACATAGATTAAAGTCACAATTCAAAATTTTAGACCCATAACAAGAAGCCCCCATGCCTTAGGGCAATAGCTCTCGGTTTATGGCGTCTCTAGAAACCTTAAATTTTACCCAGAGTAGTTTTTCTACATTAAAGTATAGCAGACTGAAAACGAGCTGCCAATAACGCATACATTTGTAACCGATCTAAACATTAGTTCGACTGTGCAAAGCACAACACAAATTAAAACAATATACAACAAGTGACGACCAACAATATTTGGATCCAACTATTTCATTCACATTAAAAGGTACTCACAGCAGGTTAGCATCCATCCCACAAACTACTTTTGGGGAGAAAGCAGTTTGTTCTCCTCCATGTCATGTTTCATTGAAGAATCCCCACCCATCAGCTCCTGAAATCCTTCGACTTTCACAGGCGGAGCCCTCGCCATGCCAGCGTTCCTGCAAAGGAAACNTAATAATAATAATAATAATAATAATAATAATAATAATAACAATAATAATAATAATCTATCATTATATAAAAAGAATAACCTTTTTACAAATTTAGAAACTTTTTCCCGCCAAAATTATTAAATATATCCAAATATAGTAATTGTTGGACAAATCTGAATAGGCAAAAAAATTGGCTCATTTTTTTTAGTTTATCAAAACCGTTGTTTGACAATAAATATTTATTGTTTTTTTTCCTATTTTTAGTATAAATCTACACGCTTATCTCTTCTGTTACAAAATCCCATTGCATACGATCTCACGTGTTTAAAAAATCTCATCCCTTATCTATACAGATTTAAAAAAATAAAATAAAATAGAAACCAATTCATAATTACTACTAGAAATTCATTATTTTTAAAAAGAAAAAATAAAATAAAATAGAAACTAATTCATAATTACTACTGGAAATCCATTATCTACTTTAAGAAGCTAATTTTCATCGGTATAATTACTAATATTTTTACAAATATTATAAGCTAACCATACAAAAAAGTATAATAATAATTTTGAAATGGTGTGTAATTAAATTTTTTTATATTCTCTTATACAAAATAATTTTACATTGTTTGACCCCGAATCTTTAATTAATAATTATTAAGTATTGTTTATCCTCCTCTTTAATTTATAATTATTTTTTTTGCTTCCTCTTTTTAAATAGGAACAATAGTAGTTTCTACTTCCGTCATTGACTGACTCAAACTCGAGGTCTATTTATAATATTATTAATTTAATATTGTTTCCGTGCATCGCACGGGGTATACACTAGTAATAATAATAATAATAATAATAATAATAATTACCAACTGTCCTAAACAATAGGTTTTGACACACACACACACACACTCTCAAAAGAAGGGGAAAAAATTGAATCCGGTTTACAAAATTTAGCTGCTTACGGTGATTGAATTTGTGGAATTTGATGAGGTGCCATGGGCCGAAAAGAATTATTATTAGCATGCATGGATGATATGGCGGCCAGCTGTTGTTGACGCATATTTTGCGACTGAGGATGCCTCGAATTCATTGTGGCAAAGGCGTTTGCATCCATAGGAAAATCGGGTGGATTTTCCATCTTAACTTGCGCCAGAGGCCTCTCCTTGTCATTCACGTTCATATTAACACCATTCATATGCATACCAGCACTGTTCATAGCTAGATTAGGGTTGTTCATATTCATATTCGCATTCATCGTCATGCCTGGACGAGGAGTGGACTGTTGTTGCCGCCTTCTCATCCTTTCCCATTGCTGCTGCTGCTGGAACGCAAGATACTGCGGGTTATTCATCTGCTGAATCTGCGGACTCATTTGCCTTAGAATCTGTGGGATTTACCAAGGTAATAATTAATAAATATATGAGTTTACCGATACTTCACAAGTTTTTAATAGATTAATAACCAAGAACTGCTGAATGCCTCGAGAAAGTTTGCAAATGAAAGCTAAAAGTCGGAATAAGTTAAAACCGATTTATAGAAACTTCTGGCCTGTATTAAGAGAACATCGAAGGAAAAGAGGAATTGCTGGTATATATATTAGTTTATAAATAGAAGCTAAAAGATGAATAAGTTTAAAGAGGGTGTTCGGCCAAGAAGTTTACGAAGTGCTTACTTTTTTGTTAAAAGTTGAGTAAAATCAGAACCAAAATCTAAAGTTCTTTTAGATTCTGTTTTTGAGATTCTAAATTCACTTAATTCATGCATATTCAGAAACAGAACATAGCATTTGAAAATAAGTAAAAACTGCTGTTTTCCTGCTTTACAAGAGTGATGTTTTGAACTGTTTGCAAACACTCCCTTAATACGAAAAACCTAAAATAACACTTCACACAAGCTTCAGCTGAACCTAATTTACATTGAGCAACTAGTTACAACCAAACGGGAAAGGCACACAACCTGCTGTGAATTCGACATTGAAGGTTGCTGCTGGGCTTGCAACTGTGCCTGCATGCCTAATGCTTGCTGCTGGGTTTGCTGAACAACATTCTTAGTGTTGTCCTTAATAAGTTCCACCAGAGGCCCCAGGTTACTGGAAATAAAAAGTAAATCATATTGGACTATGGGATATTCTTCAAAACTTTTTATATTTGGTAACAATACAAAGTGAAGTACTAGTGTAAAATGCCGCAAAACCACATAAAAATACATTCAGGGAGGTGGCTCATCACACCTTAAAAAATAGACCCAATTGACCGAAAGATATTTAATATATCACAATATTGTAAATCAATCGCATCTGTCATAATTCTGAACCACAAACAAAAAGAAAAGACTAGAAAAAGTGCTTCCAAAATTTGTCACAAAAGAGTAAACAATACAAAAGGCACACAACTGCTGGTTGTAATTTTTAGCATGTAGAGACGCAATCTAATTTGCCTAGCCTGCATTATCATACCTAACAAAACTGCCACAGAACTTACAAATCTAATGCAAGATATTCACATATAATTAATCTCCCTCTATTACGGCGCAGGTCAGACAAAAATATAAATAAAATATGCGTCATCAATCATCATTGAAAGAGATCATGGACCTATATCTAATAAAACTGCACTGAGCTAAGATATCTAGTCTAATGCAAGTTCACCACATAAAATTGATCTTGCCCTGTTACCATGCAGGTCGGCTAGAAATAAAAATGTGTGATCAGCCATCATTGAAAGCAGATCACGGTATATTTAACAAAACTGCCAGAAAACTAATATATCTAATGCAAGTTCCCACATAAAAATAAAAATTTCATCAATCATTATTGAAAGCAGATCGCGTACCTATATCCTGCAGTTTGAAGGAACATTTTCAGCAACTCGGTGGCGGAGCACTGCTTTCTATAACTATCAGAGAGGAGCTTCAAGATGGTTCCTAATTTAATGATATGGCAACTCAAAAACTGTCCCATCACTTCTAATGGGGTGTCCGAAGAAGATTCAAAACCCAAATTAGTTAACAACCGAGCTATCACCTTCTGTGACATTTGTGAAGCTTGTTCTTGACAAATAAATTTCCTGTTCCCTGTCTTTCCACCAGTTTGATGTCCTTGTTCCATATTGAGATACTCAGGTCTAATCCCAAGCCTCTCGATCATAATAGGGCTTATAACCGGGCTTTTGGTCAATATCAGAGGTAAGTTGTCCAAAACCCCATTGAACGGCATTTTCTGCCTGTTCTCCACTCCGCTCGTTAGCGGAACAGCACTATCAGGAACGCAATTTAAAGTAAACATTGTTTCGGGAAAAAGTGGCATATCATCAACTGCAGTAATATCGCCAATTGTCGAGTTTGACAGCAAATCCGTAACATTGTTATCTTTAAAAGCTATTCGCCTCCTTTTGTGATTATCGAGAAGTCTGAGATAAATCGACATCTGTTCAGGTGTTCGTCTTTCTTGCTCTCTATCTCCAAACATCAATGTATAAGATTTACTTGTCCTGTATTTCTCAAAAAATTGAGAATACCATGTTTCTGGCAATTCTTCCGGCCTAAATCTTTGGGACGCAGCATCAACTTCCGACTCACTATATCTTGATCCAACACCGATTGAAGTCTTGGAATGCCCCTGTACAATGCAACAACACTGTTGACATGCAAAAAAATGGGTGGCATGAAAGAGGGTGGATAACAGTCTAGCACGAGTAGGTTACAGGTAAAAGTATTCATATATTCAATAGAATTAATGTGATCCGATGGTTCAATAGAACGGTGAATGAAGAATCTCACTCTGGAAGAAACTTCATTAGGTTAATGAGTAAATAGACATTCCTGATGCAACTTCAACTGAAAGAAGTTATACAAGAACAATTCCATAAAATAAAATAAATGGAGAAACAACATTCTTTTTCTCTTCAGTGAGAGGATAGACTGCCCATAGTTGGGTAAAGCACTTTCTTTGCCATGATTAGAAAATGACGATAGAATATGAGTATATATTTAACCTTTCAGTTAATGCTAGTCATTTAGTTGTAGCAGACAATATACATGAAGGAGAATGCATGTTCGAGAGAAGAAATATTTTATACCTTATCCATCAATATCTGAATAATTCAAAGTGCAAACAGTATTACTGAAGAAAATGTCCAAGTAGGTACGTTATTCGTCTAACCTTCAGCAGTTTTTTTTTCTTTTTTCTAAAAATGATAATCACTGAGAAGCAATAGATAATTACGAAAGTATATAGGAAATTTCCCTAAATTGGGAAACAATTTCTTTTGTATATATTATTTTTTTATCAAATCTCTAATTGTTTGATCAGAAAAGCTTTTGGGTTGTGCAAACCAAAAGGGACTGGTGGCTTAGGGTTGTAGCAAGTGTATTTCTTTTTTGCACCATACTACCCCACTAATATACCACAGTTGTCTTTTTCCAGCAAGATTATTTAAAGAATAAATTTCTTCATATTCATCTAAAGATGTAGCTTCCACTACAATAGTTATATGACGGGTAGTTCATTTTATCGCAGAACTATGCCCGCGAATTTGACCAGTTACTCTTCTTGTTTCAGATAGAGATATATATCGAGCTAAAATGTATACTTCTGTTTTTTGTTTTCTTTTTCTTTCTTAGCCTACACTTGAGGTTTTTCTCCTACTAATGAATCATAAGTACCTTCTATATGTTATTAACGTAAGACTAGGCAAAATCTATTATCACTTTTTGCTTGTCCTCTGAAATTGAAAGTAGGTACGAATTCTCCTAATTTGTGACCTACTATACAATCTGCGTGGCTATTGACTTCCCTGGATCATTATTGCGTATATCTCAATCACGCCACTGATAAAGCTATGCAGCACAATAATCAGTTAGCATATTTCCTTGATCCAGCAGAAGAATGTTATATGACTAAATGCAGAGCTTTACAGGAGAACAAAATATAATGAAATGAGTATATGAAGAAAACATCTGCTTACAGAAACAGCATTAAAACTTTTGTTGTTAGGTTTCTAACTAGGAAACAGATTTCGCTAAGAGTCCTGCATTTAGGTTATTTTTCCTACAATGCTTGGGTTTTTTCCTCCTCTCTTATCTCGTGTTATTACAGAATAAGCACTGACGCACATTGCATTAAAAACCTTCTTTACTCATACACCTGGGGAAATAATAAATCAAAAACACATAATCTGTAGAAGAAACGCAATGAGCTATTAAGGTGAAAATATAACAACCTTGGATGTTGTAGAGTTTGATGCAGCCAAGCCTGGTTGACGTTGATCACCATCTTGTGCACCATTTTCCAGAGTAAAATACACATCATCACCATGTAACTCCAAATCTGGACCATTTTCACAATAAACAAAAGAAAATAATATACATTGGATTGCAAGTACTTGATTCAAAAAACGGGATTAACATAAATTAAAAGAGAGTATCATTTGATAAACATATATATTCCGTTCACTTGCAAGTACGGAAAAAGGTAAGAGAGTAAATAGCTAGTCACAAATCCATATATAAGAAATTAAACCAGCCAGCATGAGAGTTTCAAAAAGCAACCAAGGCACCATTCATGCTTTAGAAACAAAAAAACTCAAAATCCATGGTTTCCAGGTAGAACCCTATTTCGCCCAAGTTGTTTCGGAAAAAAAAAAAAAAAAAAAAGAACGGTTTTTCGATCAGTAGCTTGCTCATAGTGCAGGTCCCACTTGCATATTGTATTTGTCCGGTGAAGCATCAGAAGCTTATAAGTGTTGACTCTGAACATTTTGCAATAGAACATTCCCACAAACGCAAAACATAATTATGGAAGAGACATAACGGAAACTTGATACAAAAACACAATCCAAATTGCCATAAAAGAATAATCGCAATAGCAGAACAACCATGGACAGTGTTGATCTCGATCCACAGAAATTCAAAATTGACAACAACATCAACAATCAACCACTTAACAATAAGGCCTCAAAATAAAAGTAAAAAATTCCCCATTCATAAATCAACTCTCGACTCATATTCAGCTTACACAGTGGAGAAAGCAGACAAAAAAAAAGCCAGAAAAGACTTACAATTAGGATTTAGCTTAGAAACGGAGGCATGGGGGCCGGATTGAGCGAAGAGAGAGACAGAAGCTTTATCAAAAAGCAGAGCGCGAGCGCGAAGCTGGAGGCAGATCTGAGACTTCGTCTTCGAGTCGTCGGCTCGCATGAAAGCTTCCCAAGTGGCCGGCGACGAGAGGGAAGGGATGAAGTTGGAGTAGAGGGCGTCGCCAAGCCAGGACCGCCACACACCGTGGCTCTCAAGCTTCCGCGCCAGCTCGTAGCCCCTGCCGTCGTCTCCCAGCAACGACATCCCGTGGCTCAGTCAACAAAAGAAAAAGCTCTCTAATTAAGAAAGTACCGGCAGGGGTTTAAGAAAAATTAGCTGAACGATGGATCAGCAAAATAAGCGAACCTGGAATAGATGGGATAGTTAAGGCAAAGGTCCATTTAATTTACGCCCCCAAATTTCATAGGACAAATTTCCTAACTCCTTGTACACTACTATTGAACCTCTAGTTACGAAAATTTCACAAATATTAAATCCAACTTAATCATTTCTTTTAAATATTATTTTTGAATGTACTGAGTGATAGACTAACACATTTCGAGATCCTATGTACTAAATTTCATGTTTCGTTTATTTGATTTAGATAGATTTTAATTTACTTTCAATTTAATAATAATTAAGTTTAGAATTATTCATAAATACTATTCGCGATCTTTGCAATGCACGAAATGATATATTTTACTCGAATGTTTAACGTCTTCAATTAATAGACTTCATATATCTATATAAATATATATATATATATATATATATATATATATATACTAGTACGACGCTCGTGCACTACACAGGTGCACGAAAAAGTAATTTGAATAAAAAAAAATAAAAGAGTTTAGTATTATACTATATACAAAATAAATAAATGAAAGAAATTCTGTTAGAATATGGTGTTAGTATCCCATTTCGAATTCAATTCAAGATTTTGGAGTGTGAATAAATTTGTTACCATATATTTGCCAAAAATTTGGAAACATTGTTAACTCAATTATCAACCAAAAGAATATAGAAAAAATAGTGTAGATAGGGTGTTAGTTAACTCAATCGTCTATATCTATATCTATATATATATATATATATATATATATATATATAAAGAGATTAATATTTACCAAAAATATATATCCCTGCCAGCAATTATATATATAGATATAGATATAAATTAAGTGTAGAATTTCAGTTTATGTAAATAAAATAATAAATTTATATAAATATTTTTGTTAATGAAAAATCCAATATATTAGGTGTTTTAACCGATATACTTTTCACAAAACAAAAAGAAAAAAACATGCTTAATTCCTCTCGTGTCCTAAATAATTTGAACTTCCCCTTTATATATAATTTCAGAATGCGCTGAGCTTACGTGGCAAACTCTCATGCTTCGGAATCATATTTGGCAAAAAATCATGCTTTGGAGTTAGGCTTGGATATAAATTAATATTTGTATTAATTGTATTTTAATATAATTTCCTATTATAACTATTGAATTGAAAATATATTTTAAAAGTTGATAACTTTTATATTTCTTATCAGTTTTATATATATAACAAATCAAATTAATTATCTTTTGATGAGCTTCGATTTGACAATCATATTGTATATATAAAATAAATAAATTATATTTATCTTTACAATAATAATAAAAATTTTAATTAGTGTGTTGAATTTGAATTGATATTATGAAGTTCGTTTGTATTTTACTATTTATTTATATATATAAATATATAATACAAAACAGTAATATATATCCTAATGAATAAAATCTAAATTTATTTATCAAAATGAATTAAATTATATCAAATAAAACTATATATTATATTCTAAAGTAATAGAAATTGATATGTATTCTTTTAAAAATGACATTTATTTCAAATCTAATTGGTATGTTGTCAATATAATAAAAATAAATAATTATTAATATAAATTTTAAAATTACATATAAAGTTAAAAAACTGTGAAACACGACTGATACGACACTTGATGTATTAGACATCTAATTAAGTAAAAAATTAATCTATTTTGCTCAATATTAAATAAACATATTCTACACTTATGTATATACATATCACCATATTATTTCTATTTATTTAAGATATATATTTTTGTACTTATGTAATAGTAAATAATATCGATATTTTTATATGATATAAGTAAAAAAATTCAACACGGGTTGACATTTTCATTTAATATACGGGTGTTTAATTACTATGATTAAAAAAATAAATTTGGCAATTTAATTAAAATTCAAAGTAATGTTTATATAAAATTAAATTATTTTAGTTTTTTTAAAAAGTAAAAATTTAATAATTTTTACAAAAGCTTTCTAATTCAACACTCGTGTAATGCACGGGTATTGTACTAGTATTATTTTATTTAGCAATAAAACTCTCATAAACAATTTTGTTAAATTAAATAATCGTGAAACATTTAAATTTCGAATTTGACATCACAATTAACTGGGATAAAATCATCCTTTTTCCTTTTAGACTTGGGATGGCTTTATTCCTTTTAGGCTTTTCCTATTCCATACAGGATTAATTAGCAGAGAAAAGGTTGTATAAATAGGAAACGCAACCAACACACCTTCCAAGAACACATACATTGCACGCACGCACAAGAAAAGAAATCGACAAATTATTGAATTGGATCGATGGGCATGAAGAGTAAGAGCGTAGTATTGGTGGTGGCGTTAATGTTGGGCATGCTCGTCTCCCTATCACACTCTGAGACGACGAGCAAGTTGTGCCATCAGTTGCTTGTTTGCTTAAACTCCGTCAAGATTCACGGTGCTCTGAATGTTGTGAGCTGGGGAATAATGGTGCCCGTGTGTGCCATGGCTGCAAGGTACCTAAAGCGTTCAACGTGGCCAACCCAGCGTGGTTCTACTACCTTCACGTCACCTGCCATGCCTCGGCCTACATAATTGGTGTTGCTGGATGGGCCATGGGCCTCAAACTCGGCCACACAGCCATGGCCCTGTTTGTCCTAGCAGTACTCCAGGCTTTTGTCTTCCTCTTCAGGCCCAAGCCCGACCACAAGTACAGAATCTACTGGAATGTTTTTGCCTACCACCAATCCATAGGCTACACCGTCATTGCCCTCAGCATCGCCAACATTATTGAGGGTCTCGAAATCTCGGGCCCTCAGAAGAAGTGGAAACAAGCCTACATTTTCACGCTCATAGCCTTTGGAGCCGTTGCCCTTTCCATGGAAGCACTCAGGTGTTCCTTGGAAGCACTCAGGTGTTTTGTTGTCGTCAAGAGAGAGAAGAAACAAGCCTAGATCATATTATACATGCTTATTATATATTGCTTTTTATTTTTATTCATTGACTAAATAATGAGACGGGTTGTAATAAGTAAGTTTGCTCTCGTTAGTATGACTAGTATTGTTTCTATACTTGTCTTGATTTTTGGTCTTAGCCTCCTAGCCGATCATGATGGTGAATATCGTTGAAAGCACTTAAAGAACAACCAGTATATATATAGAGGAGTTTGACAAAGCTTAGAATGAGAGGAAGTAGAAGTACTCAATTAACCACATTGAATCACACTAAGCCACACATGTACATAACCTCAAGGATATATCCTTTGTCACAATGTCAACAAAGTCCCCCTTTTCCCAATTCAAATTAGTGCTCTGCCACATGGCATCATATAAGCAAAACAAAAGATAAAAACTCCATCTTTCAAGCTTATCAACACCATTAAAAACCAACAAGGTAGGATTCACAGCTTCAAAAACCATCACATCTGTACAGTTCACAAAACAATTGTCACACTATCACCACTTATGCACCACAAAAGTAACATCGTTATGAAATTAGAAGAAAGGGCTAAGTAGTGAGCTATTTTCTAAGGTACCAAAATCGAAGACGAGCGGAAGTAGAGGCGCGCGAGCCGGTCCCGCTGCTCTGCGTACAGGTGCCTGAGGCACACAAATTTTACATGTATATTTATTTATATATAATGAAAGAGATTGAGGGAAAAATCATTTTTGCAAAGTTGAAAAAAATAGGTCAAATCATTTGACTTACCACTTATGGAAAATCACTTCAAAATTGCGTGAGTCAATTTTTGTTTGGTTTGTTAGTATGGAATCAACTACATTCAATATTTTACATAGAATACATGTGCAAAGATCCGGTTTTTATTCTAACAAATTATGTCAAACAAATCATATACTGCCTTTTTTATTGATGCTATATCAAATTATTTTCTAAAAATATGTGACATAAAAATTATAAAAATATATTTAGTATTTCAATGCTTTAATTAATATTTTTATATTATTTTTGTTGCAATGACCTGTAATATATATAAATAACAGAATAATATTTTTTTATATTTCGATCAGTTAGGTTATTTTAAAAAAATGAAACTGACATCGAATCAAAATAATGAAAAATTTAAAAGTAAAAACAGATAATCGAATCAAAATATAAAATTCGGACCCAAAAACTTAGTTTAGTCGGTTTCGGTCGCTATAGTGCAACCTGGCATTAAATAATGTGTAATCCATTTAACACTTATGTGCACTCAAAGTGCAACTAGTTTTTTTGTTGATTTGTCTCAACCCAACCTAAGAACATAATAATCGATTTATTTGATTGGTTAATGGAATTAACCTAAATAGACGAAATAATTTGTAATTTATATTATAAAAATATATTTAGTATTTTAATATTTTTATTTAATAACTTATATGATTTTTTTGTACAAAAGACATAATATATATATATATATATATATATATATATACAAATGTAATATTTTTATATAGTTTGGTCAGATATGTTATTTCGGTTGTTTTAAAAAATAACCAAAATTTCAAAAGTAAAAAACCGACCAGAGGAGCTCTCCGCAGCTCACTGTCGGTCGTTAGGTGCAGGGGCGTCGTGTGCTGCTCGCGTCAGGCTCTAGCCTCCTGGTAGACCACGACTGCGACCGCGACGCCGGATATGAGGAGCTCTCTGACGACATCGGTGTGGCTTTATCGTCCGCTAGGTGCAGCAATAACAGCGACGCTAGAGCGACGAACAAGGTTGACGGACGGAATTGCCATCCTCCGCTACGGGAATTTGACGGACCGACGACCTCAGAGAAGCTGGAAGCCAGTAAGGGAGAGCCTCTATCGGTGGCGTTGGGGAGCAGGGCCAGTGTGGATGGTCGGGCTAAGATGGGGAAATACTTTGTGGTGTGGAAATAGAAGTTCAGAAAGAGATGATAGATTAGATCACTTGCCTTCGACCTCAATTACACCTTCGGGAAGGGTCTTTGACTTCACTTAACTTCGCTTCGTTTGTATGATATTGTCTGACATATTCCTCCCCTTAACAAAAGCAACATGTGCCTCGTCTATGATGAAGTCGAGCACCGCACTTTGGCAATAAGAACCAATCTCATACCCCATCCTTCACGAAAAATACAAGATGTACACAGGTACATACTCCAAGATTTCAAGGTATTTTTGTATACTCGGATCGTAGCCACACCCCGACGCGTATCCTTATACGGAGGGAATATGTCGGACAGGACGAGGAAGGCGAGGAGTCGAAAGCAAAGAGGCTAAAACCAGGTACACATTCTAAAAAAAAGAGATGAAATCGGGTGATCCCATGAAGGAAAGGGACATGGAGGCGATGTTTGGAACCCTGCCAGATCTAACGATGGAAGCAGTGTGGAGGCTCGAAAAGTCATCCCTTTTAGGGGTTCCCTCTCTTCCTTCGTTTGTGATCTCCGATTAGGAGGCTCTGATGATTTAATATCATCCAATGAAATAGGTAAATTTAAACTTGAATACAAGTCAAGGAAGGTATCTTTTTAGCACCAATATCTGAGAAGGTCAACAGTTTTATTGAAATAGTCTATCTTCCCCTCCATCTTCTTTCCCATACCCTGAGCCTTACTTGAAAGCGTAGCCATCAACTTCGCTCCCCTCTCCTTTCAGTCGAGTCTCACTTTGCTCTCCTAGATAAGCCTCGATTTGCACCCTAGAACATCAAAGTAGGGGCATCCAAAAAAGGGATTTAATCAAAACTTGCCCCAACTTTATAAATGATCCTCATATGCGCCTATCTCTCCTTAACAGTCGTCAATTGCATCGAACCTCTCTTTACCGGTCTACTATCTTTGTTACTAACTAAACTAGGGTTGACTTGCCGGTGTTAAGCATATAGACGAGTTCATTGATATTCACTTTATGACCAAAAAGGCCTTGTCACGAGCTGAGCTCGAACCAGCACTTTCCAGATCCTGTAAGTCGAAGAGCACCCGAGATTTATTATATATCATATAATAATAACATTCGGGTTTGTACAAAGAAAAGAAAAAGAAAGATTTCTTTGTTCAATTCACCTGAGCTTCACTTCTCAGCTCTTCGCTTTAGAGATAGATAGGCGAACCAGGCGTAAAAGGCTGATCGTTACATCAAACAAAGCGAATTGTTGATTCAAATCTTCCTTTCCGTGCCCTTGGTGCCGCTATTGTGTGTGTTGTGTGTGTGTGAAAGAGAGTGGGTGGATGGATCCCACAAGTGAGTAGGTGAGTTGGTGTTGGGTGGGGTCCACAGTTTGGTTAGGTAGAAAAAATATCACACTAACCTTAAGATTTAGTGGTTGGATCATCTGTTTAAGATTTATTCTTATTTTTTTTAATAAAAATTATTTTCATCGGAGCGCGACATATACATACATATATATACACATATATTTGAGGATATTCATTAATTTTTCTATTCAAAAGTATTAAATTCACAATTACATATAAAATTCAATGATACTTCTTTGAATATGATACAATTTATAAAATTAAGAATGAATTTAACAGGTTACAAAGAAAAATATACAGCATTTCAATCCTACATGGACATAAGAATTGTAAAGCTGTCAGCATCTTCAACCATTAGCGATCTGAAAACTAATTACCAAAGCCCTCTTTTCAATCTTTCATCTCAGTGAAGGGCAGTGGCATCTCCACTAATCTTCCTTGCTCGCGTCAAGTTTGCACGAAACAATTCTCTGTTCATCGGTGGAATAACTGGTAATTTCTCTCAGTTTTGGTTTGTTGTTTTCATATTGCTTTCAGATGAAGTTTGGGATTGTCCCGTATGTTAACTGCTTATGCGAACTGATTGTTCTTTCAAAATTTGGTTATGTCCCTTCTCTTTGCTGCCCCTTCCGTAATTATTCGTTCTATGCAATTTCGAGGGTTTTGCAAAGCAAAATATGTTTTTACGAAACTTGAGAATAACATGGTTTTGTGCATCTGGGGTGTTAATTAGGCAATCTGTTACTCACCTAGTTATTAAGGATTGCTCTTTAAGTTAGACAGATTGAAAATCTTTCTTTCTTGAGCAGGCTCTGGAAAAGATGTCGTGTTTGTTAGAAAAATCTAGTTTTCTGGGTTGTTATGAGGAAAAAGCTGATATATTTTTCTAAACGATGTTGGCCTTCTAAGTTATGTTTATGTTACTCAATTCAAAAGTCAATCATTTAGGTTTTCGATGTTTTGGCTACAAGAACTGGAGATCTGCTTGTATGTATTAATCACTTTTGCAAATTGTTTCTGTGAATTGTATATGAAGGCTGCAACTACAATGATCAATAATATAAAATCGCGGAATGAGTGTAGTCTTATAGTGACTGAGTTTGTTTTGAATTTTGCTTCTCATCCCCTTCATTCTTATACTCACATTTTATTAGTTTTTTGTTTTATATCAGCTGAAATCCGCTTCAATCACTAAGTCTTGAATTCCTTCTCAATTAGTTTCCGCAATGGCAATGACAGTTGAAGGTTTGTCCCTGTCTCTACCTTATATTGTTGGGGTTGATGAACTTTATTTGTTAATCTATGCTGGATCACAAGTTTGAGATGAAGTCGACAAACACTAGTATCATTTGGATTATTTTTCTCGACCAGTTATGAAATGGTTTTCTAGCTGTGCCCATACTACGGAATCGTTTGTGTTTAAAGATTTATGGATCTATACTTGATGGATGGTGGATATTCATTTGGTTAACTGATAACTATGTATGGTATCTAAATTTCATATTTTATTATTAAAGAACTAATCCTATTATTGTTTTCTGATTTTTTATTTGCACACGTTGCTGGTCTACTTGTACCTCTATCATGTGGCTGACCTGTTTGGATGGATGCACAGTGTAAGTAAGCAGTAATGAATAAAATCCAACATTCTGATTTCCATCTGCATTTCATTGCGAGTAGATGCGTAAGGGAAGAAATCAAGTGCTAGAAACCAAAATCTTACAATTTCTTCTTGTTGCTTTTATTTAGCATTAACCTTTTGGTATCCAATTTTCAGTCTTGCAGGTCTTGCCTTTATGTTTTCGTCCAGCATCCTGCTACAAATCTTGGTAAGTCGTTTGAGTATTGGCAATTATATAGCACAAGCTCTGAGCCTGTGACCACAGTTCCATTATCATAAATTTCTCGTATTTGGGTTCTATTTAAGTGTTGAAGGATCTTACTGATATTTGCATCGCTGTTGAAGTATCAACAGAATGCATTAATAACAGAATATTAAAAAGATCTATAACACCACATGGTTTCTTTACGTACTACCTTTTATTTTTGTGCTATATGGAGTGGCATCCTCTATTTCGTGACGTGCATGACTATAATGGAGGAAGGACCTCTCCTCAAATGTGGTGCTTAGAATTCAGTGCGTAGATGAGCATATCTGTATATCAACACTTTGCAACAAACCTTTTATCTTTGAAGGGACAGAATCTCGCCTTTTTAGTTGTTTTGGCTTGGTTGTGAGGATTTTTTTAGCTTCTCAACTAAGTATATTTGCGTATACTAAATATCAATTTGTAGCGAAGAGAATTAGATGTTAACAGGGTATGTATTTATTGGCGTTGCATTATATTTGCAGTTACTTTATTGTGTGTTGAAAGGGATTGTGTGCCATTTCATGGACTTACATGATTGCTGAGGAATGAGGACAATGTATCGTTCTATAGGCTCGTTTTGTATCTTTTAATGTTGCCGTTTGATATTTGGCACTGGCTCCATCCTTTTTTTT